AGCATTTTGAAATGTTGATGATGGAAATCCAAGAGCTCCACACCAAGGCACAACCAAGCAGTCTGTACGAAAAAGCCAAAGGGAGAACACGACTAAGCCAACTCAGTGCAGCACGGCCCTTGTATCAAAATATGTACAAAGGTTTTTATATATTTTATTTATCTATCAGTTCTTCCACAGTTTTAAGATTTTAACTGCTTTTGGAAGAAGCAGGCAGTATCCAAAAAATACACTTAGTTCCCGATGAGTTTTTTAGAAGAGTCATTATTTGAAGACAGAAAATTACAGTACAGAAAAGTGCCAGCTACTGGATAACCTCACTCAGTGTCTGCTCAAATAGAGTAAGGGAGTATTTGTAACCATACCACTTCAAAAATTCTTAATCTTTAGGGTTTCAGTGCTTGATTTAAACAAAGGGATTGTCAACTTAGTTGCCTTCTATAAAAATATGAATTCTAGTAGGCTAGGACAGCTGTTGCTGTATTGAAGCACATTCCTCTTACGCTGATACCATCTTATCTTGCAACTTCTTGGTAACATCCAGAAAAGAAAATAGTAACCTTTGTATTTTGTAGGGTTGTCTGTCATAGCATTGAGCTTCCTACCACTGAAGATCAGTAGAAAACCTGCCACGTTATTCTCCATGGCAGGAAAACTTCCCTACTTCAAAAAACAAAATGCTCTTCAAATGACACCACTGAAGCTTAAACAACACAAAAAATATTGTAGTTACAACTCAAAACATATTTGAGAATTGTGTCTTCAAAAAAAAAAAACAACCATCGTATTGTATGAAGAGTTATCTTAACTGTAAGACATGTTAGACATGAGGAAGAACTTTTTCTTTCAGAGAGTGGTCAGGCACTGGAATGGCTGCCCAGGGAGGTGGTGGAGTCGTCGTCCCTGGCAGTGCTCAAGAGGCGTCTGGATGAGGAGCTGTGAGATCTGGTTTAGTGCTTGTGGTGGCAATGGTGATGGGAGGATTGGACTAGATGATCTTATAGGTCGTTTCCAACCTTGTGATTCTATGATTCAGTGATTCTATGATACACAAACATGTATGTGATAGTGCGTACTTAGATATCTTAGATACTTAGAGATAAGCCACTGCCAAAGACTACAGCACCCAGCACTCAACAGTCTGTTTTGTTTTTAGGTACCTGACTGGTATTTTCCAGCACAGTTCCAATTTAAATGCCTTAAGCTTTACTCCTGCAATAGAAGCATAGGGGATAAAACATAATCTTTGGAAATCTATACACTATTCCTTGGCAGTCTCAACGCATTATAAAACACTGAAAACAGGGAGTAGCATTACCTTCATATTTTTCTAGTGCTTGGACAACATTAGGCAGTTGGTTAATAGCTTGATACATTCGGTAACAGTCCTGTAAGGTTGCTGCTTGTCTCTGAAACCTCTTTGCTAGCCGGTTAAGATCTGGGAAGCGGCGCAGAAGGTCTTCTTGAAGGCCCTGACGCAGTTCAGTATCTGCCACAAAGGCTTCAACCAAATTCAACCTAATTAAGATTTAATGAGATGTAAGGGTGAGCATGACGTGGTATGCAATTCTTTTACATCTGCCATTACAACAACGGTTATAAGGAAGTTTCGGTCTCAGCAAGGATACTCGCACTGTGTCACGCTCTGTGAATTTTACAGCTGGGCATCTGATGAACAGCACTGAAGTGAAACCATTTCAAACTGCCAACATCTGTTCAGTAGGTATTTCAAAGCTCAGAATCTACTTGGAAATTAATGTCCCCTTGCATCATAAAAGTCAATGATCAAAATCTTACTCACTGCTCTATCCAACCACTTGGTCTGTATTTTGCTTTTCACGAGCTCACCTTTTTGCCTTTTTTTTCAGTTGTGCTTTTTTACATCATACACAAACAAACCTCTTTCATCCCACAATTCTCAGCTTGTTCAACAGCCTCCTGCAAAAGAACTTGTGAAAGGCATTTTAACTACCTAATTTATTCATATTTTTTGCCTTTGTCCACTACAATGACAGGTTCAAAGAGTTCAGATCTGCATAACACAATTTTCCTCTACCAAACTATGCTAATTAGACTAACATCTCATGACCTTCCTAGCACTGTTCTATTTTTCCCTCCTGTATTTGCCAGCCATACGCATAAGGTTGACAGGTTCATGTTCATTTTACAGAACAGGTTCCCATAAAGTAGGAATACATACAAGGCTGCTGAAGAGCTATGTTAAGGTAACACAAGCCACATCTAATGCTCACAAGTAATAAAGATATCAAGGGGAAGGGCTTTTTTGTAATACAAAGTTTATGGCTAAGTAAACAAAGAAAACATGGGAAGAAATCAAAGCAAAATGAAATCCCTGTTTCAAGACAGTTAGCTGTTCAAATGTGCAAATTCAAAATCTCAGGTGATATAAATCAAAACCAACACCAGTAGTACATACAGGAACAAGAACACTTCTAGCACTGCTCCAAAAAAGGACTGGATGGTTTTTATCAGTTTTTGATACTTGGATCCATGCATGAATCCATAAGATATCACTACTGCAGAGCAATAATTCAAAATCCCAAGTTCTGCCAGATGTTTTCATGGGAAATAACTGAATTAACACAAGGAAGAAAATATGTTAATAACGAAATCAAATGAGCAATGCACTGTTTCATGGGAGAAGCTCAGCTATTACTTTTAAAGAACATCTTGAAGGTTTAACTCCTCGTCCCCAGCCACAGAACAGTAGAGCCTTTTAAAGAGCTCACACCCTCCACCTGCTGAAGTCTTCCTATGACTGCAGAATAAGATCAGCTTTCCTGTTTAAGCATTCAAGCTAACTATAGTCACTTCTTTCAGAGAAATGCCACTTAGAAAAGCAGGATATTAAGGATATTCGTGGACATACTGAAAGAATCCAGCAGAGGGCCACCAAGACCATCAGGGACCAAGGAGAACCTCTCCTGTGAGGAGAATCTGAGAAAGCTGAGGCTGTTCAGCCTGGAGGAGGCTGGGGAGGAACCATCCACATCTATAAAACATGAGGAAAAGGCACAAAGATGACAGAGCCAGGCTCTGCTCAGCTGCACCCTGTGCCAGGGCAAGAAGCAATGGGCACAAACTGGAACACAAGAGGTTCTGTCTAAGCATTAGGATTGTGCTCGGGGGGTGACTGAGTATAGGAACAGATACACAAAGATGCTGAAGAGTCTTCATCCTTGGAGATGCTCTAATGCAGGTCCTGGGCAACCTGCTTTGCCTGAGCAGGGGGTTGGACCAGATGACCTCCAGAGGTCATTTTCAATCGAGGTCGTTCTACAATTCCTTAATCAAACACAGATTTCAAGCAAAATGTAATTACTGCAGTAATTATCATCCACCTTCTTTCGACAGGTTGAGAGCAAAACAATAGTATGACAGCAACACAATCACTTTTCCCTAAAGAAGAAATAAAAATAGCAATTTGATTATTTCTTGCACAAAGATCTGAAAACTGATTTGACATTTTTAACCAAGTTTCAGTTTAGTTTTGATTTCACTTGAGCCCCAAAATTCAGATGCAAGAGAAAGTGACTAAAAGCTTAATCCTTGTATTTACTATGCACCAAGCAATGGCTGTCAGGATGGAGTGAGAGAGCTGAAAGTACCAACAGAGATATACTGTGACAACCAATGCCACCTAAGAGATACAGATTTATGGTACTGATTGCTGATCCTTGACCTAGAAGACAAATGATACCAACAACACGAAGAATACAAACAGCTTTTATGCCCTCCTTCAGCTCAAACAGCAATGCAGTCTTTCCCATAGGTGAAGGTGTCATGAAAGAAATCTTTGTTTTTATTTACATCCTCATATTCTCTTCATACAAGAAAACCAAAAGTAAATTTCTAGCAGTGGAAGAATCTAAACTTTGTATTTGCTTTCAAATGCCTCAGATTGTGATGGAAATTTCTTCCTGAAGAAGTGACATGCCTGACATGTGCTCGACTTGCAGAGCTTTTAAGTTTCTAGGCAGTACTCACTGTCAACCTGTTTTAGAAGCAAAAATAAATGAAAAGACAGGCAATCTAAAAGTACTTTTGAAAGTAGTAACCATAGTTGAAGGAAATAGAGAGCATTAAAGAAGTGCTGAGAGCTTCAAGTTACAAACATTTTACTAGTGAACTCATAGGCTGTGACTTACAGAATGACAAAAGGGATGTTTTTCTAACATTCTAGAGGCTTATTGGAAACCCAGTGCCACTTACATTATCACTAAATGACAGCTTCTTTCATGCAAAACATTTATTGCACCATGACATGCATGACAAAAATCAAATCACACTCCTGTCTTACAGTTAGCTCAGGTTCAACCTGTGTTCCAGAACTGTCTCTGCAGGCACTAAAGGCACTCCCAATGTTTAGTTAAAGTGTGTTTTAATTAAGTTGTTTAGACAAACCTCCAAGCTGGTCACATTCTCCCCTCCCTTAGCAAGGATGCAGGCCACTAATTGAACTGCCTGAAATCAGTTTGCTGCTCTAGACAAGTACTGACCTGCACTTGCAAAAGTAGTGAAGGTCCTTTCAAAGATAACCAAAATGACTGAAGCAACACAGACTGCCTGCAGTACTTTGCAGGAACAGCTGTAGGTTAAAAAAGAACGCAAAAATAGTGAAAACCTATCACAGACCAACTGATGTGGGAAGGGAATTCAGGGCCTGTAGTCCCAGTTCTCACTCAAAAGGGCTGATATCAGTTGAATGGAATCCTACATTTGTGCTATGTGCAAACACAAGATATGTTTTATTTTTCTGAACGAAACAATGTTCACATTCAGCGTATTTTTTTTCCTCAAGATTGAACAGAAAGAATGCTACTTAACGTTCTCCCACGTATCTCAAACTTTCCAGTATCTAAAAAATAAACAAAACATACTGAAGTTGCTTTCTGTACTTCACTACAATCATTACCCAATAAATCCTATTGAGAATATGATCTGCACTTTCTGTCTCTGAAGCTACCTTTTAATTTCAGAGATATGCTGACTCCAAGAAGAGACAGGAGGCTCCATCTGAACAGCCATCTGAAGTCGCTGCATGGTGAAAGCAAGGCTGGACTGTGCATACCTGGGAAACCAGCCAGACACAGGCACAACACCATGCTTTTCAAGACAGACAAGAACCAGAACCCTCTATTCTCTTTGCTCTGGCTAGAAGCTGTTTGAGGAGGTAAACATTATGTTATCTAAAACATATGCACTACATACATTAATTTGTGATGCTACCATATCCTGTATTGACGGTTAATATGGATTAGTGACATAACATCCAGTTCTACTTATCCATAAATACCCTAACACACTGCAAGTTAAAAACTACTGAAAGTTAATCCATTTAGCTCCAAAAGATGACTTGCACCATCTACAGGTCTTAGCAGGGGGTTACAAGAGTCTGACTCCGAAGGTTTTGGAATTAACTGCCAGGCATCCAACTCTGGATAACCAAAACAACAGGCTTACTCCAATAAAAAGTCATCTAACATCAGTCAAATCTATGTGGTTTAGACTAGTTTGATGAGAGGTGTGCATCAGTGTTAAGTGGAGTGCTTTAACACATTCAAGCTAAGAAATAATCAGGAATCCATCTAGATGACAAAAGAACCACTGTTTTTCTATCTGGACCAAAAGTCAGGGTGTTTTCTTCTCAAACTATCTATATGCTCTAAATTATAGCATGTTGAAATTCTGAATTCTTAAATTCAGAAATAGAAAACCGCCCTGTAACCACAAATCTCTCAAAAGGTGTTTGAACTTGTAAATTCCTCTTATCAGTTCCACTAATGGTTTGTCTTATTATGTTTGTTCCTTATATTTAAATAAGTGCAGCCCTACACACTCTGAACAGCATTAAGATTGAGAGGGTAGTACATCAGCAGCTTTTGAGCAAAATGCACTGCTTTTATCTGCAGGCATTCAGACTGTGGCACAGCAATGCTGCTGAGTGAAGTGAAAGGTATGACTGTGTGTCCAGAAGCACAACAGACTGAAACTAACTACATTTCATGAAGCACAAGCCAGCTGATTTGGTGGCTAGATGAGGTACAGGAGGCTATCAATGAACTCTTTCAAACTCAATAATGGAATCCACCTTTGCAAGCTTCACTGATAGCTTAATGCTACTGAAGTGCTCCCTTCCTCCTTTAAATGCAGCTTTTGCTAAATACAGCCAACATTAACCATACAGAAGTCACATTTTCTGTCTACTGCCTCAACTTCATAAACAAAACATCATCTTTCTTCCAGACTTGCAGGACTTTTGGCACACAATAATGATCAAACAAAACTGTCAGAAAAGTTTAGATTTCCAACATTTACTTTGTTACAAGAAAACCACAAATGGGAGTAACTCACTTCAAAATCTTAAAATCAAGTTAACTGTATAATTAATGTTGGCATGGATTTTAGGATCCGAAACTGACAGAAGTAGAACATCCTGGGCATGTAATCAAGAAGTAATGATGAAAGCTTACTAACGCATGCAAAATTAAGATACAGCATTCGTTAAACCTGGGGACAAATACTTCCCAGGCTAGAAACATTTTAAAACATGTTTGGATCAAGTCACTAGGCATCATTCTGCAAATTACTTGAAAACACACATGAAAATATAAAATTATACAAATCTAGAAAGAAGATTTCTCCTTGTGTAGCTTCTTTAAACATTTGTGTGTCCAAGCTGAAATTTCTTTTGTGGCGTTACTGATCCATGTTAAAGCCCAACAACATAGCCAGAAATACCTGCACTGCCTTATCTGAAATACAAGACTGACAACGTATCAAAGTTAAATTCAGTTTTCTGGTTTATTCTGCTTTTTAAAGAAACAAACGGACTTCGAACTAACTTACCACTTACTTGAGCTGTACAATGTTTGTGTTTAGGTGATAGAGGACAGCTATATTTAAATATATACTTATATATGAGCTGTTTTGTAGGCTTTCTTTGTGTGGAGAATAACACGAAATGAGCATATACGCTCTGGGGGAGTAAGATGTTTGTAGTTTCCCTTCCTGAAGGACTGAGAACGATCCGTTCTATCTCAGCAGTGAGTTGTCAAATGCTGAAAAGCTTCGTACTGACTGATGCTGCTCTCTGCTGGTAGGGCTGACATGGGTGACAGGCAGCAGTGTGAAACAGCAAGGAAGATGAAGACCATATGTGGGCCACAGTATCCGCACAAGATACGGTAAGAGTGCCTGTTTCATACTAAGGGATTTGGCTTCTAGAAATACAAAGAGATCACTACTGCTTAATTTCTTTTTTCATTGGTAAACTGGAAATGGCATCAAGATACAGTGTGAAGTTAAAAAGCAGCACCTTAGCCTATAGCATGAGTCATCTGACCATATTATACTTCCTGCCTAAAAGGTTGTAATTGTAAATGATCTAATAGTCAGTAAGCATCTCATTGAGCAGGCTTTCTGTTCTGTTGAACTACAACAAAGTATAGCGCACAAAAACTCCAGCCACCATTTCTAAAAGTGAAAAACTGATTTCTTGGTTATAGTATTTTGCTTAAGGAAAAGGGACCTTCTATAAAACAGTTACAACTTGCATCAAGTCCAGCAAACGCGACAATTTTACCTTTCTTCAATTCTATTCTTGTCCATAAGCGGCTGTTTGATCCACTGATTAACCAGTCTTTGCCCTTGAGGGGTTCTGCATTTGTTTAGTAAACCAGCCAGAGACTGTGTATTATTAGCATTTTCCACAGAACTCTGGAAAGGAAAAGAAAAAGTTAAGTTTACTGACACCCACTGACTGGCAGTCCAGTTCACTGCTTCAAAACAGATCCATCTTTTCTGTATGAGACCCAGCACCATCAAAGAAGGCGCTGCATTAAGGCAGCTGCACTGCTTCCTAGAACATACCTACCCATTGGGTAGCATATTCTTTGAATAGGAGAAGTGGAAACATATCTAGATACTTGCTAGTTTGCCCTTTGTAAGGTGAAAAAACAAGGATCCCATCCATTAAATAAAAAAAAAAAAGCAGAATAAGACTATTCAGACTACAGCTTACCATAGTTTAGTACTGCTTTTGGCTTAATGTTAATTGCACTCAAGAGAGCCTTATGGTCATTTTTCTAGGATTTTTACTTGGTTGTTTTGCACAAACATTTGGGAAGCAAAAAAATCGTGTTTAACACTGACAAATAACAAATGACCTTGTTTCAACTCACAACTCTGAAATTAAAACCTCACTTTCTACACCAGAATGCCTACAATTAAAACAGTGTGTAGGGATTTAACCAGCAACAGATCTGGATGTCTGTAAATAGCTGGAACGTAGAACTAGCACTACAAGAGGACACTCAGCAAGAGGGTATATTGATGGTTTAACCTCCAGATAATGTATTTTAGAGTGTATTTTATTCATACCTTCAGTGTTCTGGACAGAATAGTGTATGAAAAACTCCTGAATCCAAGAAAGCACCACAAATAACCTACCCCAGCACATACAGTTTTGTATAATCAACTGCATCTGCTGCATCATCAGAACTTCACCTACATACTTCACACATTCAGACTTCTCCAAAAATGGCATGACTGTAGAAATTATTTTGGAGTTCCCTGTCATACCACACAACTACTGAACTCAACTCTTCCTCCATCCTCCAAACCTGCTCCTGCCACTGACTACAACCAAGGAAAGCTAATGCCCTCTCTGCACTGCCTAGCCAACTCCTCAGCAGCTGCAAGCAGGTTATCTCCAAGGCACTTCCCATTCTGCATTCTACACCTTCCTGCCACTCTTATGATCTTCTCTTCTGCATTCAAAGGCAAACAAGGGAACAAAACTGAACAAAGAGTGTTAACAGTTGCAAACTGTTTAAAACATACAAAACATGAGAGTAACTGAAAACAAAGCTAAAAAAGCAGAAGCTGACGTTATCAGGACGTGGGAAGCTGTGACTGTTTATCAAGCAGCTAAACAAGTATATTGCAAAACACAGATCAATCCAAGCATGCATTTCTTACCTGGAACAGGTTGAGTGCTTGGACAGCTGCATTGTCTAGAACCATATACTGACTAAGATCAAAAGTAGTCAGTTCGAATTGTCCAAAGTTAGAGTCATCTGACAGCAACTCCAAAAACTTGATAACGGCTGACAAAGATGAAACAGCAACCTGAAGATTAAAAAAAACAAAGAAAAAAAGAAAGAAAAGAAAAACACTGACCACCACATATTCTAGTTAGAAATATTCCTGAACCGTGGAGCATTTGATAATAAAGAAAATTACTAGAAATAGTCAAGCGAAGTCTCTGAGCTACGACAATTTCAACAGGGTTACAGGAGATTCATCACTTTTTTCTAGGGCACTACAGCTTCTTTCTAGGTAGGTGTAAGAAGAACAAACGAGGTACTTGCTTAATCTGATAAACAAAGATGTGAAGAGCACGCCACGCCAACTTGCCAAAGCTCTTATCAGGACATTTCTGGCCCAGGAACAGAAACAAGTTATAGCAGATAGATATCATGTATCATTTGAGGACATGGTTTCATGGTTACAGACAGACAGAGCAAGGATCTGATCTGGCTCACTGTAAGACCTTACACATGTTAATGCCAGCACAAAAGACAGTGAGTGTGATTACTGACTTGTTTGGTTATAAAGACTTCCAACAATTTTAAGCTCTTATGAAATCACACATATGATACAGGCACTACATATCATATCATATCATATCATATCATATCATATCATATCATATCATATCATATCATATCATAGAATGGCTTGGGTTGGAAGGGGACCTCAAGGATCATCAAGCTCCAACCTCCCCACTGCAGGCAGGGCCACCAACCTCCACATTTAATACTAGACCAGGCTGCCCAGAGCCCCACCCAACCTGGCCTTGAACACCTCTGGGGACAGGGCAACACACATCATATAACTGAGCTGTCAGATGATGTAAATCACAATAGCACTAACATAAACAGCACTCTGTTTCCAAATATGAGTTTTCCCATTATGCAAAATAATCAAAGGATTATATTTCAGCCCTTAGGTAGATTGATTATGAATAGGAAGCACTTGTTAGCAATCAATTTGTTTACCAGAGTTTACTACTTGAAAGTGATACATGATATCTCACATTCTTCCAGGACTCCTGGACACAAAGACTCATGCAGAGCAGAACTGCTAAGGGCTTCAGCAAGAATGCAGTTTAACACAATGCATACCCTCAGAGGTATGGGAATCCAGCACACAACAGGGTCAGGAAGGGTAGAGATCATCTTACAACAGGTGCACACACCACTCTGCTTCTAAAAAAACAGGGGCACATCAAACAGTGCTCTGGGCTCACCTGCTTTTCCATCTCTGGCAATGCTGCACTGTTCATTTGTTCTCCTTTTCTGGATTTTAACAAGCGATTGAGATCCTGAACAATATCCTTTGTCGTGAAATCTGCCTTCTTTCTGTCTGTAATCAGGATTCCTCCTCTCTGAATGACCTGTTTGCCATAAAATACAGTCACCAATTAATTTCAGTTTTCATTGGACAGCTGCTCATCACCTAGAAGCACACCCTGAGAGAACTGCTGCCCTTACCTGCCGCAGTTTCCCCATCTCTCCTGCAGTGTCTCCTCCTGGCAGCACACACTCCTTAGGTCCTAGCTGAACCAGCAGGGCTTCAAGGTTTGAGAACTGATCGTTATCTGGGAACTCACAGACGCTCAGTTTTCTCAGCGTAGTGTCCACATATCCTACTCCTATTACTCTTTGTCCATCAGCAGAAGACAGCTTCACCCCCACAACCCCGATGGCCATTGACATATCATTGTTGGCAAAGAGAACTTCCTCAAACTGGGCAAGATTTCCCGGAGAACCCTACATGCAGGAGAAATTTAGTTTTAAAAAGGTGTCAACACAGGATACACTTGTTAAAACCGAACAAAACAAAGAAGAATTGGTAAGAACAGACCATTAATACAAAACACAGCTTTTTAAACCATTTAAACATCATGTACAGAAAGTGAACTACCTCAGGCTTCTTCAGACCTGCAGCCTATGGCAAGGACACAGGATGAGCTCCTCCAGCAGCTGATAGCACAGCAACATACAACCAACTGCACAACTTACCATCATGCCACCAGAGGCAGTCACTGAAACTCCAAACTGAGGGATGCAGGAGTCATTTCTTTATCCCCTTCCCTCTTACCATCATACAGAAAGGTAGAAAATTGTACCTTGTATGCTAAATACCAGTCGTTCTCTTTGACAGATTTACTCCCTGCTTTATTCTTGTAAACTTCCACTCTGTAATGACGAACCAACAGCAAATCTCTCACAAAAGATTCAAAGTTCATTTTACTGAGCACAACACTCTCCAGTTTCTGATTTCCTATGGAAAGAAAAGAAGAGGGAGGGGAAGGGGGACTTGTAAGATGCTTGAATGTATTCATCACGTTTGTTCTCTGTAATTGACTCCCCCCAAGTTAGAATTTACAGCCTTCAGAACTGATGTTCGTCTGATACTGAAGATCACATAAAACCCTTGAAACGACACAAACCCGAAACGTTTCATTATTCACATTAGACATGAAGAAAGCTTTCAATCAGAGACACCAGATAATGCTGTTGTGGAATGTTTTGAAACCAAAGCTTGAAGACCCGGGCTTTCATCTCTCAACTGAGCAGCACCGAACATAACGCAGAAATGGGGCCCATACGCGTTTCCTGGTCTGGGAGGTATTCCAAACCCCATCCTTGACACTGTCACACTTTCTAAGATCTTCGCAGCTTTCTTCTTATGCAGCAGCCCATCACTCACGCCAAGAAGCGCAAAGCATATTCCAGTGCCATTCTCTTTCTATTACCACTGCATAAAAAAAGTTTCACTCATCACGAACCGGTTCCAATCAAGTTTATTAAGTATAAGCTCTGCAATATTAAGCTACTTGAGATGAACGATAACAGCAAGGTTTGCCTCTTCTGACAAACTCTTACATCTGATGTCTGCAAGCTCTACCTCTGCATACCAAAAGATTAACAAAAAGGAGCAAGAGGCAGATCGAGAAAATCTTGAGCAATGCATAATTAGACGTTATACCCTGCTGCAGTCCATCGTGAGTCAATCACGTACGAACAGGCGATTCGCACACGTGAACGTCACCATTGCGACCCAACGAACCACCCGCACTCGAGCAGTACAGAAACACAGAACCACAGAGGTTGGA